AATTGGAAACTCCATTTTTTCTACTGTCCCCAGAGCTCAGGGCAGGTAGAGAGGATGAACAGAACTGTAAAAAGAGATCTTAACTAAATTGCCCTTGGAAATTGATGATGGCTGGGTGGTGCCCCTTGTCCTGGCCTTGTTCTGAGCCCAGAACACCCCTCTTGTGTGGGACCCCCACTCCCTTGATCCCGGCTCTTGACTCCCCTCTCCCCACCAATGACTTTTCAGGCTAATAAGGATATTATGTCTGGATTGTAAGCTTTCCAGATCAGACACCAGGAACTGGGGCCTACACTTAGTTATCTGTCTAATGTAGGTCCCCCTGAGGTTCCACAGGATTAAACAAAGTAAAAGAGGCTGCTCCTGGTACTGTTGACCATCCCGACCTCCGTTGAAGTGGATGGAGTAACTGCCTGACTGCACTTAACTCAGACCTGCACCTGCACCGGATGCCAACTGGAGAGCAGCCAGACACCTGAGCAACCCCCTCAAGCTCAAGATCACCTGCCATTATGCAAGGCCAAGGAAACCATAAAATGGCTATGGTGTATCTTCCTTCCCGTGTTGAGCCTCAGCACCCCATACAACCTTTCCAAAGTGACTTGGCAAGTACTCTCAGCCATTGGAAATGTGGCTTGGTCCACTATGGTGGAACACCCGCCTTGTGCCTGGTGGCCAGACCTTGTCTTTGATCTCTGTAAGTTAGCAGCAGGCTTTGACTCCTGGGATATCCCCACCCTAGAGACACAGGGGTGGAGATTACCCAAATGTCTGGGTCAAGGGACTTTTGAATCTAAACCCTGTCACAGAAGCAGCCTTAGAGGGTGGGACTTAGGGTGTGTTCACCCAAAGTTGAGAAGTGTCCTTCGAGAAACCCCATAGATGTGCACTCCCAAGATGAGAGAAGCCATCAGCAAGCCCCTCAGTGTATGTGTGTAAAGGGACAGCTACTACTTTTTCTCTGTTACCTAAGGGTGTAGAAAATTGAGAAGTACATACTAGAGACCCTCCAGAGAGTGGGAGGAAGATAGTTAAAGATTCAATGACAAAGGTACTGGAGGGTCTAGCCAAGAGAGAGAGAGAAAAACCCCAAAGATAGTTTGAGTCTTGGTTTAACTTCGATCTCCCCTTAGTTTCCTACCTTGATTTCTACATTGTTAGAACCACTGATAATTTTGTTCCTGCCTCTGACTTTGGGCCCTTGCATTTTAAATCCACTTAGTTGCTTTTACTAAAGATTACATAGGTACAGTACAGTTGATGATCCTGAGATAACGATATCAAGAGCTAGATACAGAGGACCAGAGATATAAGGTGCATAACTATCCAATAGCTTCAAGATTGAAGTATGCACAAAGAGAAAGAGGGGAATGAAGAGGAACTTTGGATCACTTGTGCCCCCCCTCCATGGAAGACATTAATTAGCATTCCTTAGTCAGAGGACACTGGCTGGATTAACAAACAGAGGAGGAAGGGAGAGGTTGATTAACATTCCTCAGACCACAGGGGGGTGAACCCACCTGCTAGTGGGGAAGGCCCAGAGCACATAGACATATTCTACAGGACTGACCAACCCTTGCCACTTACAGACAGACAAGGGAGACCCTTGCCAACTCAAAGACCAATCAGTTTAAAAGTCACACTGTTCTGCCAATCATATTGTGCCTAGTCACTGTTTCTCTAGTCCACCCCTTAAACTGTATAAAAACTGACCAAATGGGCTGCCTGGGGTCACCACTCCACCTTTGGTGTAGGAAGCCCCAGTGCAATAGATCATCAAAGTTCCTATTGATTTTGCATCAGTTTATGTCTCCCCCCCGCCCCCCCCCCCCCCCGTACATTAAGGAGGTCTCTAGTAAGCTAAGGATCCCCAAGAGTCTTACAGTGTAATACAAATTCTTTTCTTTTTCTTTCTTTCTTTTTTTTTTTTGTTTTTTTTTGTTTTTTTTTGTTTGTTTGTTTTTTTGAGACAGGGTTTCTCTGTGTAGCCCGGGCTGTCCTGGAACTCACTCTGTAGACCAGGCTGCCTCGAACTCAGAAATCCACCTGCCTCTGCCTCCCAAGTGCTGGGATTAAAGGTGTTCGCCACCACTGTCCTGAATAATACAAATTCTTGAAAACCAAAAAATAAAACAGAAGTAAAGCAGAGCTTATCACATCCTGCTGAAAACCCGCAAGAACCACCCTGCACTCAAAATGCTTCTTCCAACAGGGTGCTGTGGCCAATGGACCTCATCTCAGATAGAAACAGCAGGCTCTCTATGGGTTTGAGGCCAACCTGATCTACATAGTGAGCTCCAGAACAGCCAGGGAAACAAAAAAAGACCCTGTCTCAAAACAAATAAACAAAGACTACTTGTCCTTGCTCCTGACCTAGAGCTGGCCAGACTGGAGAGGGAGAAATAAGGAACAAGGCTGAGCAAGGCTCATAAGGGTCAGTACTGCTTAGACAAGGACCAGGGGTACCCGGTGAGGAGATATCCTTGGTATATAGAAGGGGAGGTAAGGGGTCTGGCAGCTGAGGCGAACTTGGACACATCCATCTATACTGGACCCTACACTCCTTGGAGCCTCCTCCTGAAACCAGCAAGGAGATGGACTCCTGACCAGCAAATGAGTTCAATCAGAGCTCAAGGTCGACACAAACCCCACACACCCTCTACCTGATGAACTGGTTCTGGGTTTTCTCAATACAATATAATGTTTCCCTTTTGTCTGAATCAGTAGTCAACAAACCCAGAACTTTTCATTTAAGATTATTTTTAAAGTCCCAAAACTGTGAACAAGGAGTTGCACCAGTCAAGCTCCCATCCAGTCCAGTGCCCTGTCTTCATCATGGAGAGACCACACCAGGTTAGCACCACAGCTATGGGCCCCTCCAATAGAGAGGGCCTGCACATCTCTAGAGTCAGAATATGAACGAGCTTCTTGATTTCTGGGGTCCTGGTAGAGAACAGATCTGTTTAGCAATATGTCTTCAAAGGTCGGACGGGCTGCAAACATCCTATCCCTGAAGAGCTGGGAGATGTGGAGGAAGGGACCTGGCAGCAACCTGTTTCTAGAATGGCCAAGCCTGGGAGAAGGGACACTCTCAAGAGCCCTACCTTAAAGCTGGGGCTCAAGACACAATGCTCCAAAGCCTAAGAGAGGTCTGGGATGGCTGGTTGTGAGGAACTGTGTGCTGAGGGTAGGTCCACAGCACCTGATACCAGAACACTGTGGCCCTGAGGAGCCTGCAGCTAGATTGAGTGCTTCTACTAAACCCCAGGTTTATTCAAAGCATTTTTTCTTTATTTTTATTTTATTCTTTGTCTTCTTGTGTGTCTGTCTACCATGTGTGTGTAGTGCCCATGAAGGGCAGAAGAACACACTGGATGCACTGGAACTTGATTACTAGCTACCATGTGAGTACTAGGAACAGAACTTGAATCCTCTGTAAGAGTGTGCATGCTCTTAACTGCTGGGCCACCTCTACAGCCCCCTGGGAGTCCACAGCTTTTAGAATAAATGTCTGTATTGAGAAGCAATTCATATGACATATACTCCAGCCATTTGAAAGTGCATATTTCTGGGAGTCTAGTATATTCAAACATGTATAGGCAAGGTGGTTCATGCCTTTAAGCCCAGCGTTCAGGAGGCAGAGGCAGGTGAATCTCTGTGAGTGCCAAGTCAATCTTGTTTATCTTGTGAGTTCCAGGCCAGCAGGGGATACATAAAGAGACCCTGTCTCAAAGTTCAATTAAATAAACAAGTGCATAGATAAATAAACCTCTGTGGCTATTACACACACACACACACACACCACTCCAAATCCACTAGGAGTTTCTCCCTCTTTTTCCTTCCCTTAGTCACTGGCAAACACTAACAGATTGACTTTTTTTTCGGGATTTCATACAGGATAACTTGCACAGTGATGGGGTGGTTGGTTGGTTGGTTTGGTTTGGTTTGGTTTGGTTTGGTTTGGTTTGGTTTGGTTTGGTTTTGGTCTGGTTTCTTCTGCTTGTGGCCATGTTGTCAAAGTTCATCCACATTCTGCAGTGTATCTTAGAAGTGTATTCATGCCTCCCAGTTGCCATGCAAGCACCCTACTGTGGTTTGATGACAGAGCTTAGTTATAAGGCACAGTCTTGCCTGGTGTGGGCAGGGTCCAGAACTGGGAAAAATACTACACACATTTACTATTTTTTAAAATCTATGTATGAGTTGATGGACATTCAGTTCACTTAAGGGTGATCTGCTTGACTCTTTCAAATGTTACCACAGAGACCTGGAGACACGGTTCAGGGGTTAAGAGCACTTGCTGCTCTTACAGAGGACCAGGACTGAGTTCCTCGCACCCACATATGGTGCACATGCACGCATGCAGATAAAACACTCACACACATAAAATAAATATTTTTTAAATCTCAAGAAAAACTTTAAATACTACCATAAACATTGGCATACACATATCTGTTTGATTTCACAGTGCTTATTTTTTTAGATTTATTTATTTTATGTATATGAGTACACCACCATTGTTCTCATCAGACACACCAGAAGAGGGCATCAGACCCTATTACAGAGGGTTTTGAGCTACCATGTGGTTGCTGGGAATTGAACTCAGGACATCTGAAAGATCAATTGGTGCTCTTAACCGCTGAGCTTGATGCTATTTAGTTTTGATTTGCATTTTCCTGATAACTAACGACCTGCTTGCTGCCAACTGGCACAGTTGTAAACCTCTAGAGAAGTCCATTCTGATTTTTTACTATGGCTCATGTGTTTAAGAAAGGATTAGCACTTTGAAGCTGTAGGAAGACAGACCAAAAGAAAACTAAGCTCCCCTGTTACCTTGATCCCAGGGACTTCCCAGGAGTGCTCTGGGCTCTGGGAAGGAGGAGGACCCTAGGGCAGGCCACGCCCCACTGTTCCAGGAAGAAAGGCTACTTGAAAGAATCAGCCTGCAGCTTCACGGTTTCACTTTCGTGTCCTGACCTCTCTAGAACTGCCCTGGCTGGTGTCTCCGGTTACTCCCGGGTTGAACAAACAAGAGACCCCTCCCCAGCACCCCAGCTCGTCCTTGCTTTGCTTGGTGAGCCGAAATACCTCGGTAGGGGTAAAGATCCTGGTGAGCCACCCTACCACTAAGCCCCTCCCAGAGCCCAGCTGCCCCTACTCTGGTGTGGTCTCTACTCTATGGCCTTGATCCCTGCTTGTTAAGTTGGGGATTCAGCCTTCCAGAAGCCCCACTATACCAGACAGCTTGGAGAGACCCTAGCAGCTAGGATCTAGTCTCTATGGAGGCCACCCACTAGGAATACAGTGGGACCAGCTTGTTTTGGGCTTGAAGCTGGCAGAGGGAGGATGCTCTTGGAGGAGGCGGGAAGGGAGGGGGACAGGGCACTCTCTAGGCTTCTTGGCTGAATGCAGATTCCCTGGCCCACAAGTCCCTTCCTGATCCCCAAGGGTCTTCTTGCCTCACTCTCCACCGTTGGCCAAAGACCTGGTTTCCTAGGGGTGCAACTGTTGCTCTATGCTGCACAGGTTGTCTGCATCAGGCCTGTTTTGGTCTATGACTCATGAAGGTTTGAGGAGGTCAGGTAACTCACAGAGCCTGGAGGAAACCACAGAACCCTGGAACCACCGAACACTTGGCTTTGCTCTGGGCTCCTGTGCCAAGTTCCTTAAAAGTGAGGACTCCTGTTCTTTCCCCAGCCTTGGCCCTCACCCAGGGAGTGCAAAAGGGTATCTTAGACTTCAGCAGGGGGCCAGGGGTGACACACAGTAATTAATGGTGTGGATAGTGCAGGACCTGCTGAAATAGGCTATCTCCTCTTCCTCCTCAGTCAAGTGCCGGAGACCCCAGGGAGAGACAGATAAGTGAGCCACAGAGTGAACAGAGTGCTCTGTGTTGTGTTGGTCGAGCAGGATGTGCCAGGACTAACAAGGCAAGGCTACTCTGAAGAGATGGGGTTTCTGAGTGCTGCGGGCAACTGATTATGGACCTCTGCCATCTGCCCCCAGGATCATGACATCAGCCTTTGAGAGAGAGATAAAAAGTGTGATCCAGGAGGTGGGCGACAGCAGAGGAGATCTCATCCTAGTGGACTGCCTTCGGGATTCAACCAGCTTCAAGCCCTACAGCCTCCTGAGCAGGAGACTCTCAAGCTCATGTTTCTGGAAACCCCGTTATACATTTCTCAACATGTCAATCAAGGACATCCTGGAACCCAGTGCTCCAGAACCAGGTATCTCATTACCTGCCCCCCTCTTCCACATCCTGAGCCCCCAGACTGAATAGAAGAAGGGAGTGGGCGAAGCCCAGCCTGGCATCCTATTGGGCACGTTCAGCTCTACCCCTCTGGCCCTATTTCCAGAATGGGGAGTTTTTTAAAGGCCCCATTGCTACAGAGGAAAGAGAAGGCAGTGGCTACTGGAATATGACTGTAGAGCTGCTCTCTTTTTAGAACTGGAGTGTATTGGCCACTTCCAAGTCTCTGATGTCGTCGATTGGAACATTCAGGGCAGTGTGGTGATGTCAGGCATGGGAGAAGGGAGAATTTCTGGTGAGGCTGCAGTGTCTGACAGTGCCAGGGTCCCCATGAGTGTGTGTATGCTGCTTGTGAATCTGCAGACCTGGATGATGATGCAGCGTGAAAGGTGAGCCCCTGAAGGGATGACGGCTCTCTTACCTTGAGCAGCCATGCTTCTTGGGGAGATTTCTGGGTTCTGGGCATCAGAAGGGTTCTGAGGCAGTATCTCTCAGCACTGGACAAGGGAAACCCAAGAGGAAGGGAACAGTATAAACAATGTCAGGTGGGGAGGGATGTTAAACCTCGGTTGCCAGGACTGTATCCTGAAGATCAGGATATCAAGAAAGGGCCCGAGTCCCTTGGAATCAGGCTGAGCTCCTGGTTGCTTTGGAAAAAGGGTGACATGGACTTGGAACATTGATGGATCATACACAATGGAGTCCCTCCATAGGCACAGGCATCCACTTCTCTGTGTTTGAACTTATCATTACTCTCACAAGCAACTAGACACTGCTAGGATCACCCTGGAAGGATTTCCAATCCTGGTATCCACAGACTCCTGGATTCCCTAGCGTTTCCATCTCACCTGTCAGCAGGAATGTAGGGAGGGAGGCTAGTCCATGATGGGCAAGCCCTGGCAATCTTTCTGTAGGCACCTGCAGCAGCCTGAGAATACAATCCTGCAACAGCTTCGGAGGCGTGGGGATGATGTGTTTGTCATCACCAAGGTGCTGCAGACAAAGGAGGAGGTGAAGGTCACCCAGACCCACAGTCAGGAGGGCTCAGGCCAGTTTACAGTGCCTGGAGCCTCATGCTTCAAGGTAGGTTATGCTACTCCTAACACCAGCCTAGTCCTACTTGGGCACAGAGCAATGGCAGGAATCTTAGAAGCCAGGGCAACATCCCAGGCAGTGATGGAAGACTCTTCTAAGACCCCTCCAGTAGTAAGCAATAGTCCCACTTGCCCAGTTAGCTGGAACTGCAAAGGCTGGATCAACCATTACCAATGACAAGCCTGTCACCAACACTCCACTCTTAGCTATTCACTCTACCCCCCTGAGCCCATATCCATCCTTCAGGGTGAAGACAAGGGCCACCAAAGCCAGAAGAAGATGGTGACCCTTCCTCCAGGCAGCATCCTTGCATTCCAAATGGACAAACTTGTCATTGGCTTTACATGGGGTAAGTGGCAAGGGATTGTCTCTAAAATCCAGACTCTGTGGCAGAGAAGCACTTCAGCTAGCCAGGGGATGCTGTGGGTATCTGGCTGCATGATCTCCCAGACAGGATGGTAAAGTGTGTCAGGAATGAGATGTGGGTCATAGGGGAAGGGTTTCATGAGGTCTCAGGAGCCCTGGGGATAATGGATTGATGACCTGTTTGCTTCTGCCTGCTGCTAGGTACCCTTCTCCTCCCGAATGAGAAACAGAGGACCTTTGAGCCCTACTCAGGTAAGGTCCCAGACCCTCTGGCCTTACATGCCTTTTAACTTTGAGGAGTTCTGTGCTCAGGCCATGAGGTGGGCACACACCACACATACACATGTATACACAATGGGTGAGGCTCAACTCAGGTGATGTTGCTGGGCCTGCTTAGCTTTCCATCTGCCCTGGGCTGCCATTAGTAGGAGGGATGGGTCTGGGAAGGTCCAGGTAAAGATCTCAGCCCTCGTTGACTTGATACAATGGTCCCTGGGTCACTAATCAGAACAGCTCTTCCCCTTCCACCATCCGGATTTGTTGCCTAGGCCACAGAAGAGGAGTGGACCGGGAGCGCCATTGCTTTAATCTGCTGACTGCACTACACTCCATTGGTGAGCAGCACAAATTCATGTCAGTAACCCCTTGACTACCCTGGAACTCTACAGCTTCTGCATCTGCTCCCTGGACCTACCCCTCCTAACTAATGTTCCCCAAGACCTCATGGGTTTCAGCTGGTACTTCCCTCTGTCCCTCCAGATGGAATCCCTGAGGAAGAAGAATTCAGGGAAGACTTCCAAGGCCTGTGTGCAGAGGTGAAGGCTGGCTCCTTAGAACTTGGGAGATTAAAAATGGAGTTGAAACAACAGCTACTAGTGGACATCGGGAGGATTTTACAGGACCAGCCCGGCCTGGAAGCCTTAGAGGCCTCAGTGAGTGAGAGTGCTGGTGGTGGACAGGGTCTGGCCAATCCTGCTCAGTCTCACTTACTCCATCCCTACCTCAGCTAGGGCAGGGCCTGTACATTGGGGGGCAGGTGGAGCCTCTGGATGGCCCAGCAGGCTGCATCCTTGAGTGTCTGGTGCTAGATTCTGGAGAGCTGGTGATGAAACTCGCAGCCCCTATCTTCTACCTGTTGGGAGCACTGAATGGTGAGCAGCCCAAGGAGGCATTAGAGGGGACAGGAAGGGAGGACTAGGTTTTATATGGGGCATTCTGGAACCCTCTCTCAGCCCAGATCTCTCCCCAGTGCTGAGTGAAACTCAGAGGCAGCTGCTGGCTAAGGCTCTAGAGACAACAGTACTGTCAAAGCAGCGGGAGTTGGTGAGAAGACTTGGCCTTGGGGGTGCAATGGGTCCCTGGGAACATCGAGGTTGACAAGGGAAAGTGCTGCTTCTCTCAGGCACAAGCTACAGGCAGCATTTGTAACCTCTTACCCTCCTCTGTTGGTAGGTGGAGCACATCTTGGAACAGAACTCGCCATGGCAGGGACAGAGGTCTTTGTCCCTGCCCTCCAGGCTCCTTGGGGACAGCTGGGATGAGGAGGCTCCCACCTGGGTCTTGCTAGAAGAATGTGGCCTAAGGCTGCAGGTGGAACCCCCCCAGGTGCACTGGGAACCAACCTCTCAGGGCCCCACATGTGCTCTCTATGCCTCCCTGGCCCTATTGTCTAGTCTAGGCCAGAAACCTCATTAGCCTGCAGGTCTCCCTTCCAGCAACATCTCCATGTCCTTCTCTCAGCCAGGGCAGAATCTTGCCAACCCCAGCCTGTAGGAAACCAAGTACCCAGCTCAGTCACAGGGTTAGAATGCAATGAAACACAGGAGTTGGAAAAAATCAATACATTTACAAACAAAAGCATAGTGCTGCGCTTCTGAGGAATACTGGATCATCAGTAGGATGGGGAAGGGTGGGGTTCGCCCACACAGAATCAAGATGGATAGGATGGCTACCACCTCACTCCTGTGTCCTACAGACAGGCAGATTCTGGGAATCAACAAGTCTCATGGCACAGGGGAGTTCCTGGGCTCTGTGTCTAGGGAGAAGATGTTTCTAACTGATGTGGCCAAGGGGTTTTGATCACCCCTGGGAGCTTGCACACCTAGGACAAGTGTTTGTTACTTGGTGGGGACCACACCATCTACTTAGTGCAGCTCAGCCTTAGCTTGCTGAGAGGTAGAAGTAGCAACAGGTTCTTCCTGACAGGTGCTTTCTTTCTCAGTGATGCAAATACAGGCCAGATTAGACCAGATTAAAACTAGATATGGCAGGTTTCTTAGGTGGCATCTCTCAGGTGGATTCACTGATGTCACATGTGGAGGTCAGGGAAGTTGTACATCCAGGCTAAAGCAAGAAGGTTTTGTGGTTCTAGGAAGTGGAGAGATGACACCTGATCTAGAAGCTGGGACTGTGTCCATCCATGGTCAAAAACTGAGCCCCTGGCCGGAAACTCCGAGATGAGAAGTAATGACAAGTTACCCCAGAGTTTTCTCTGTGCAGGCAGGTTTGGGGGAAGGAGAAGCAGATGGGGTTTCCTGGCTTATTCCAGAGATGAGCAGGGGTTACATCCTAACATGCCAACCTCTTTGGGTCCAGGGGTTCCTGTTCAGATGTGGCTACTTCCTGCTGAAGAGGAATGGCATGAGGTGAGAGTGTGAGGAGTTGCTGGGTTCCAGCTCGGGAACTATGGGTGCAGAAACAATTGGTTGTCTGTCATCCCGCAGACTTCAAAAATCTCATTTGTAGAAGCAGAGGGGAAGGCATGGATCTAGAAGGAAAATAGATTAGTGAAGACCTCCGCAGAGGGGAGACCCTCACTCAAGTCTCAGAAAGTCGCGGCCACCCAGTAATCTGCTCGAGACACCATGTACCAGAGCAATTGCGAGATTTATTAGGACGTGACAACTAGCTGCCGGTCAATTCGTATGCCCACGCAGGAGCTGAATTGACCCCGACAGCCAGTTCGAGATGGGTTTTTAAAGGGAAAAACCACAAACCAAGGAATGGGGAGGGGGTTAGGGGTTGCTAGGGTGGTATAACATAAAAATAGTGGAACATTCCAAAGGAACCCAACCTACGGGAGTCAGGGTCAGGTGAAAAATCTCTGTACGCTTATCTTTCTCAAGAATGTGGTCCTGCCCTGTTACTTCCGGCCTTGCCCTGTCACTGCGGTTCTCAGCTTGGTTCCCAGCTTGTTCCACCTAGTTCACTTGCATTCTTTCCTTTCTCTTTGCAGATAGGCCAGTTCCAGTAATGGTGACTGGTCTTTCCACATTCCTAACTTGTTTCATGCCTCGGTTTCTCCATATCTTTATAAAGAAAGCCTAAAGAATATTTTATATGTCTAAAAAGAATTCTATATACCCAGTATCTATAATTTTTCACTCTACATTAGTATCCTCTGTCCTATGAATGGGCTAGCCTTGTGTGAAAAGCAAAGGCTGCCAGAAAGTGTGGAACTCAGATATGGCCTGGTTGAATGGTCAGAGTTTTTTTTAATTTTTGATTATTATTCTTATTCTTATTATTATTAAAGATTTATTTATTATATGTGCGTAAGTTCACTGTCACTGTCTTCAGACACACCAGAAGAGGGCATCAGATCTCATCACAGATGGTTGTCAGCCACCATGTGATTGCTGGGAATTGAACTCATGACCTCTGGAGAAGCAGAAAGTGCTCTTAACCACTGAGCCATCTTTCCAGCCCATGGGTAGATTCTTTAGACAGTTTGTGGAGTAACTCAGTCTGGGTCTCCATCAGGGTTGTTGTTTCCTCGGGGAACATGGAGGTCTCACCTTTATCAGTCTTGAGGAGGTTAAGATCCTCTACTTTTGTAGGGCCACTGAAGCTTCTGAGTTTACACAAAGAGGTAAGATTTAGACAGGTTAGCATTATCATTTATACTGGCTGGTTTTAAGTGTCAACCTGACACTAGCTGGAGTTGCCACTGAGAAAGGAGCCTCCCTTGAGGAAAAGCCTCCATGGGATCCAGCTGTGAGGCATTTTCTCAATTAGTAATCAAGGAGGGAGAGCCTATTCTATTGTGGGTGGTGTCATTCCTGGGCTGGTAAGAAAGCAAGCTGAGCAAACCAGTAAGTAGCACCCCTCCATGGCCTCTGCACCAGCTCCTACCTCCAAGTTCCTGTCCTGTGTGAGTTCCTATTCTGATTTCCTTTGGTGACCAACAGCAATGTGGAAGTGTGAGCTGGATAAACCCTTTCCTCCCCTACTTGCTTCTTGGTCATGATGGTTTGTACAGGAATAGAAACCGTGACTAAGACATCATTGTCTGTAATCTACATTGAAACTCACATTGTAGAAAAGACAGTAGACCCATACCTTTGTGTCATTGTAGAGGCTTGGAAAATGATTTGGGGTGAAAATCATGAAGACTCTTTAAGGTGAGCTCAGGGAAGACAAACCTTCTGTGAGACAGAAGGGGCAAGAGCTCCCTAGATCCTGATTTGCAGTATGATTAGAGATTGTGAAAGAGGGACTTCTTTCCTCTATCCAGAAGGCTGGATGTATGTAGATTAGACGGGCCTTTTTAATGAGAAACACTTTTAAGTCTATATTTAGAAAACAACAAGAGGAAATTTAAAATCCTGAGCATGTGACTATGATAATAGTGGGTCAACAGTGGAAGGCTTTATCAGAGTTAGACTAACAGTGGATCAGAACTCTATTGGTTAATAGTAAACTTTTGAAGCTTAATACAGCAGTAACATAGTGAGGGATCAGAATCAGAAGCATTTCTCCTGTTCACCTTATATCATTTTTTTATTGCCTAAGTCATCACGGGAGGACTGAGTCAGGTGTAGAGGTCAGGGGAATCTTGCAGCGCTGACTAGCAATCAGGTTGCTTCTTGAATTATATAGATTTCATAGAAAAATGATAGATGATCCTGGAAATACAGACTAATTCATTTTTGTCTCTGGACATGTGTGGGGTTACAAATTCAGTCACAATGAGAGAGTACAGAGAGAAGAGCTTTTATTTTTATTATTACCCTTATAACTTCAACTCAAAAATATCTACAGAAAGTCTCAGCCAAAACACACACATTTATTATCTGATAGCCTGCCTGCTTTGGGCTGGCAGCCTTTGCAGTTTTAAAGCACTCCAGACAAACAGAAAATATCTCAACCAGTCTTTTTTATGAATATCAAACACTAATAAATCATTCTTTTTACTGTGTAAGTTTGTGATCTCTGTTATAAAGTAGGAAAAGTTTATTTTAGTCAATCTATTTTATCTACTTTTGTTCTATTCTTCCAGGCTGAACCCTGTCCAATGTCAAAAGTCCCCATAATCTATACAGTTTGAACAATGTTTAAAAGTTCAAAGTTCAGGCTGGAAAGATGGCTCAGAGGTTAAGAGCACAAGCTCCTCATTTAGAGGTCCTGAGTTCAATTCCCTGCACCCACATGGTGGCTCACAACCATTTGTAATGGGATCCGATGCCCTCTTCTGGTGGTTTGGACCTCAAGGAGAAAACAGGGAGGAGGAGAGAAGCTATGCCAGAGAAGAGTACAGGACAGAGCAGCAGAGCCAACATGTAATGGGACCAAGAGAACGTGGCCCACAGGGATGCCCAGTTGGGTCTAGAGCAGCCATGATGGAACATGGAAAATACTAAGTATGCAAGGTCTCACTAAATTACTCAGGCTGGCTTGAATTTATGATCTTCCTGTCTCAGCTGTGCCACCACCTGTGGTCCTGTGAGGGTTATGACTCAAACCGTTTGCCAGTTTCTCTGACATAGGGTGAGCCCATGCAGACCCTGACCAGCTTTTGTCCTAAGCTACTGGAACTTGAGTCCTGCCTTCAGACTGACATTAGCCCTTAAAAGGGGGGAGGGAGTGTTTTTATTTTATGCATATGGGAATCTTGTCTGAATGGCTATGGGCCAAGCACACCTTCATGTACTACTACCTGTGGAAGGCAAAAGAGGGCCTCAGTTTCCTTAGAACTAGAGTTGCAGAGAGTTGTTAGCCACCATGTGGAGTCGGGGAGTAGAAACCCCATCCTCTGCAAGACAAACAGGTGTTCTTAATCACTGAGCCATCTCCCTAACCTCACTTTGGTCTTGTGCATAGTGCTTTGCTCACCTCAAGCCAAGCTAGATCTTGTGCCAAGCCTGGCTCCTCACAACCAGTTTTTCAGACAGATGTGCAAGCTCTGCCATGTAGCAGAGGGTTTATTTTGAATGCCTTCCATGTAGATGCTTGGAAGCAAATGTAAATAGGATCCCATGCTTGTCCCAAAGAGACCCCAGTGTGGGGAGACAGCCCCCTACTCATCAGCACATTGTGCATACCCTGTGTTTGTGAGGGGGCCTCCCTGAGCCTGAGGACATTCCAGGGTATCCATTCCATGTGGAGGATGCTGCCTGTGCCAGTGCCTGGAGGGCTGGGGTCATACCTGTGGCTGACACTTTCTGTCTATCCAACTATACCATCCCAGTTAAGATCAGTACAAGACCTTTGGTAATGACATACTCATTCACAGTCTGATGGGTGTGGAGTGCTTGCTACCATACTTCAACCCAGGGGTGCAATCCTGGCTTGGGCTCTCCAGCATGAAAGGATATTAGAGACACCTTCTAGAAAACACCATTCTATGGGTGGATTCTGACATGAGTGGGGATAGGAAATGGGTTGATTATCCAAAGGAGTAGGGACAACAGGGATGGACAGGAGAACAGGTCAATTACTCTTGAACAAAGGGCACAGAAGCCAGAACAACTGTAGGGAATAGAGGTAGGAAGAAGCAGGAGTGCTGGATTACTGATGTAACTAGGAAGGCCATGACACATAGGACTCTGGCTAGGCAGACTGAGTCCTAGGAAGGGGACACTCTAGAGAGTGAACAGGCTGCCCTGGCAAAGAATAAATAGATGGACCAAGACTACAAAAAACACTTGAGGTACAATGTGCCATTGCAACACCGTTTTCACATCGTGGGCCCATACAAAATAGTTTCTGGGTGAGGGCCACCAGTGGCCAGCACCAGGCCCACAATGACCCTTCATCATCAGTAAGGCCTCTTCTGCAGAGCTGCTATCGTGGGGACTGGTGACCGCGTGGACGGCGCCCACAAATCTGGATACCAGGGCTGGCTCAACGAGGTTCAAGGCAGCTCCATCGGCCTGTAGGCTCCAGCGTAGGAATGGACTATCCTCATAGAGTGGATGGGGCCTTGTGGGGAATGAATGGTGGTGGGTGAAGCAGAAGGGAGTGGGCCTGTGTGTTTGGACCTGTGTGGGAAGACACATGTGCTGCCAAGGAAAGCACTGACACTGGGTCGCCCTGCAGCTATCCTAGGTCTATATAAAGGGACAACACAGGAGGTGTGGAAGAGGAACCTGGGACCTGCCCTCACCCATTCTGTCCTGTTCACTCCTCTCCAGAAACATTCACCTCTCCAGGATTTTACCCAATGTTAGGTCTGGTTCTCACCACGAACAGAGAGTTCAACAAGTCCTGGCTAACTCCTCTGGGGCTAGTATGATAGACCAGGAAACCTATAACAAAGCAAAACAGTGAGGTCTGGCCCAGCCCTAGAAAACGCTGGCCCAGCTCTCAGAGCCCTAAGTGGGTTAGTTGGCCTCACCTATTAGCACAGTGGCTGCCCTGTGCCAGGTGTCCTGTGGGCTCTGCAAGCGACCCTGGGTTTGACTCAGGAAATGTTGAACATGACATGGATACCACTGAACCTAGGAACACAAATGCTCATGACAGGACAAAAGCTTCAGTCCTTCATGAACAAAGGGCTGGAACAGGTAACATGACCTGGCCTCATAGGAACATGGTGGTCCAGTTTAGCTCAGGTGGAGGCTCTGTTTTGAAGGAGAGTGGACTCTAGACTCCTATGACAAGTCAGCAGCTGATTAGACCCTGGTGATTTCTCTACTAACCAGGCGGTGGCAGACATGGCTGAGAGCCTTGGGGCTGTCGTAGTAAGCCACAGTAACCATCTCCTCCAGCAGGCCCCATCGAAGGGCCTGATCACAGTGGGCTAGTGTCTACTCTGAGCTCTGCAATGGGGGAAGCAAACAGGGTCAGGGGTCCAGGAGATGGCCATTGGTGGAAAGAAAGGGAAGGTGGCCAGAAAATTGTTGGCAAAGCCCAGGGCAAGGTGCTCAGTATAGCAGCCCAAAGGAAGCCCTGGACCTAAAGGTCCTTGAGGTTCTTGTCCCTAGCATAAAACCTTCAGAGAGGCCACAAGGTAGGAGGGGAAGAACTGGATGAGACAGTTATGGGACAGAACACTGACCTCAGCAGCATCCTGACTGGAGTCATATAGAGACAGCAACAGCGTCACCAGACTCTGCAGCACCAATTTCCACAGGGGTACCGGAAACCCCAAATGTGCCTGCAAGGGGCTTCCCACCTGCTGCTTGTAGGGACCTTGGCTGTTGGCTGCTTCTGGTGGGAGAACATGGTGGTCCAGGTAGAGCCACAGCTTTTCAACTTACCATCCTTTTTAGGTGGGACACCAATTTTGGGCAAAAATTCACTAGAAATATAAGATTGTTCACTTGACAGTTATAGTTATACATTTTTTATTTTTAAAAAGGTGAGTTAGTAGCACTGAGACACGTCACGTGACTTGAGTAGGGTACCTCTGAGACAAACTGCTTGCAGGTAGGTCACCTGCTGTGAAAAATTGTGGGGAAACTTTAAAAGGCCGCCTCTGTGGTGTGGCCCTGGAGGGGCTTCCACCACTGTGGTGGGTCCCACGTTTGGGAGGAATCCTATGGTTCCAGCAGCCTGGAGGCCTTGGTGATGACAGGATCCAATAACATGAGGAAGTCCTCGGTTCCAAAAAGGTTTATTGTCATGGCAGATGATAGATGGATCTAGGCATACCCCCAAGAACTCAGGGCAGTCCCGAGTTATATAGGGAGGAAGAAAGGGGGAGGATTGGGGGAGGATCTGGGGGAGGCATGTTTAATTTGCTCTGCCTTCTGGCCTTCATTAGTATGTAAATCCCTAGGGCCTGAGGCCTATAGCCTGGCCTATGTAATTCTATGGAGACCTGACTGCTTTTCAGGATCCTGGGTTCTGGGGGACACCAAACTCCTGCCGGTTCTCACCCAGAATCTGGAGAGTCTCGGGGTTCCAGGCACCTGCTCCACCATGACCCAGGATACCCTTATGCAGTCCCACAAAAAATTACAGGCTGCCCTGAGTCAGAGAGCCAAAACAATAGGCCTCTGTTTGGGTGCAAATACTCATTTGTAGTAAAGAAGGACAAGTTATTTACTCTCTCCTCCAAATGGCCCACCTCCAAGTAGGGTTCACCAATAGAAACATTCATACAGGTGATGAAAGCAGTAGAGGAAAGAGTCTTTAGACCAGGATCCCTCAGGCACCCAGACCAAGTGCCCTATATAGTTACCTGGATGAATCTAGTAGAGGACCCCCCCACACACTCATAAAAGCCTTTCTATTCCAAGACCCTTGTAGGTTCTGGCCATCAGGAGCAAGGGAGGATACAAGAAAGAAAGAATGTTCCCTCAGACATGGAGGCACCATCAATTGATCAGGCTGTCGTCAACAGAGGGTTTCTTCTGACCAGATCTGACTGGGACATTAATATGGCAGAAGGTAAGGGGCACCTAAAAGCCTACCTGCAGATTTCATTGGCAAGTCTCAAGGTGGACACATGAGGCCCCACCAATTTTGACCAAGGCATGTGAGGTTAAGCAGGGATCAGATGAGTTGCCCACAGCCTTTTTAGAATGGCTCATAGAGGCATTCTGTCAGTACACACTGTGTCCTTTACAGACCAGGCTAGTAGATATCAGGAAAATCCTTCAGAGGCTAGAGGGACGGCAGGATAAGTCATTAAAAGATTTAGTGTAGGTTGCTGAGGGAGTCTACCGTAACAGGGAGAAAGAAAAAGAGCAAAGAAAAAGAAAGGAAGAAGATGAAAGAGAGATGAGAAAAAGAATGGTGTCAGGAAAGGAATTTACTGAGGATCTTGGCTATAGTAGTTAAGGGAAAGCAGAGAAGGGAGACTCCAGTGGAAGGGAGACAGACACTCCTTGACAAGGACCAGTGTATACATTGCAAGTAAAGGAGCCAGCTTCTGAGCCCAAACAAATGGAAGCCGGGGTCAGGAAATCCCAGGCCTTTGAAAAACTCCCCCAAATGGTGAAGGTATTGGTTCTGAGTGAAGACAGTGATTGGGGTAGACAGGGTTTGGACCCACTCAACTCTTGGTGGACACAGTGGCTCAACACTCGGTCCTCCTACAACCCTATGGCCCCATTTCCAAGAAAAGATCTTGGTTCCAAGGAGCCACTGGCACCAAAATGTGTTTATTCAGGGACTACCTGAAGAACGGTGGACTTAGAGATGGGCTGGGTATCCCATTCATTTATGGTCATCTCAGACTGTCCCTACCCTCTGTTGGGGTGAGACTTAGTTTCCAGGATGGGGGCCCAGATACACTTAATGCCTGATGTGCTGCAACTAACTGGCCCAATTGGAGAACCCATGGGTGGAGAAAAGACTTCTCCTACTTACCCCTGCAGGAAGCCAAGGCAACCAGCTTCACAGATGGGAGCAGTTTTCTCCAAGCTGGTCAGAGACAAAATTGTACTGCTATGGTGGACTGCACAAATGTCATCTGGGCTGAACTTCTACTCCCCATCCCCAGGCTTGTCACCTCAGACAGCAGCCTTGGAACTTGGGGCTGGAAAGAAAATTAACATCTACACAGATAGCAGGTATGCCTTTGCCACAGCCCATGTCCACGGGGCTATATACCAAGAGAGAAGACTGCTCAAAACAGAAGAAATCTTGGATCTCTTGGATGCCTTGATGAAGCCAGCAACTGTGAGTACTATTTGTTGCCCACAACATCAGACGGGAGGAGACTCAGTGACCCAAGGCAATAACCAGACAGATCAAGTGGCTCCAGAAGTGGCTATGCAGGAGCCTTTCTCGGTTATGGGCCTGCAAGAGACACCCACTAGGGAATGGGACTAGATTAACAAATGGCCTCACTTAAACACACACAGAAGAAGAAAGGACTCAGGTTGCTAGCCACCCTACCAACTATTACCTAGAGAAAAAAGGACAATGGTGCACACATGAAGGGAGAACTATACTCCGTGAAAAGCAAATCAAAGACTTACTAGGCCAAATGCACAGATGGACTCATTTGAGAGATGAACACATCCAAGCAGTCAAGGGATCTAAGATGTATAATGGACCTCAGGTTTTGGGCCAGAGAGATAGTAGAACAGTGCAAGGTATGCCAGCAAGCAAATGCTTATGAGGCCAAGAGTAAACAGGGAAAAATACCTATGGGAGAACAGCCTAGAGTATATTGGGAGGCCAATTTTGCAGAAGTTAAGCCAGGAAAATATGGAGACCCTCTAGTACTTGTAGATACTATCTCTAGATGGGTTGGGGCTTTCCCCATCAAGCAGGAAACAGCTATTGTGCTATCCAAGAAGATATTAGAAGAAATCTTCCTGAGGTTTCCAGTGCCCAAGGTAATTGGATCAGATAAGGTCATGCTTTTGTTTCTAAGGTAAGTCAGGGATTGTCAGAGATATTGGGGACTAATTGGAAGCTCCATTGTTCCTGCTGTCCCTAGAGCTCAGGGCAGGTAAAGAGGATGAACAGAACCCTAAAAAGAGACCTTAACTAAATTGTCCTTGGAAACTGGGGCTGGCTATGTGGTGTCCCTTGTCCTGGCCCTGTTCTGAGCCCAAAACACCTCTCTTGTGTGAGACCCCCACTCCCTTAACCCCGGCTGTTGACTCCTCCTGCCTGAAATGACGTTTCAGGCTAGTAAGTATATTATGGCTCCATTATAAGCTTTCCAGATCAGACACCAGGAACTGAGGCCTACACTTAGTGATCTGTATAACGCAGGTCCCCCAGAGTTTCCACACGAGTAAACAAAGTAATAGAGGCTGTTCTGGTGTTGATGACCATCCAGACCTCTGTTGAAGTCAATGGAGTAACTGCCTGACTGCACTTAACTCAGACCTGCACCTGTACCTGATGCCAAATGGAGAGCAGCCAGACTCCTGAGCAACCCCCTCAGGCTCAAGATCACCTGCCATTCTGCAAGGCCAAGGAAACCATTAAATGACTACAGAGTATCTTCCTTCCCATGTTGAGCCTC